CTCTTCTTGTCTCCAGAGAAAGGCTTGGGACTCATCAGAGGTATCTTGGGCATCCACTGCATCGGCTGCATGGGCCCAGGTGCTTGATGCAGTGGCTGCATAGCCACTGAAACAGGTTGTTGCATACTAATCTAGGCCTGGCTGGACAGTGGGACTGTAGTGACCACTGTTGTAGACGGTACGGCTGAGTGAACCGGACCACTAGTTGCACCTAAACCACCCGGGGAGGGCGTGCCAAACATGGGAGAGAAAGTTTGCCCTGTGCGTTGCAACATTGATGATGGACCCGCACCTACAGAGGGAACTACAGCAAACTGTGGTGGCCTCGTCGTTGGGCGAATGCCCCTAAGTTCAGCCAGAATTTGTTTCTGGCCTGCTACCAAATCAGCCAACAATTCTTGTTGAATGCTTTGCGCTTCCGCCACTGAAAGTAAGACGCCTTGCGGCACACGAACAGCAGGGTCTAATGTTGCCTCATCTAGTCTTTCCAGTCTGCCTAACTCCTGCAATCTACTCTCTAGTCTAGCTTTTCTTTGCATAGCTTTCCTTCTCCTCTTTACTACTTCATTCATCTGCCGCTGTAGCTCATCTTGAAGTTCTTCTGCTTGTCGGATTTCCAAGTCTTCCGGCGTGATAGGAGATTGGTTGACTCGCACATGACCAATCTGACTAGTGGCCGCCTGAGTACCACTCTGACTGACTCCTGACGAAGTGGAATGTGTAGAGGGTTGCGTCATAGATGAGGTAGCCATGGCTGTACTGATGCTAGTTGTAATTCTAGCTCTAGCACTGTCTTCAGCTGCACTCGCTCTCCTTGCCGCTGTCCTCTCTCTAGCCTCTCTCCTCAATCTTCTCTCGTCTCCTGGACCTAACTCCAAGAATGTCAAGGGTCGACTGCGGGCAGTCMYGCGAGTAGTCCTMCGGTCGTCCACTAGTAACTCCTCCTCACTTGTGCTTGCATCACTCATGAGCTACAGTGTGTGTGATCTAAACTAGAATCCACACTGAATCCTACCTTAGCTTGATACACATCCGCATATGATACACAACTACTTACGGTCGGCTGGGACATAAATAGCTAGGTGATGTAGTTACAACTAATGTCAGGTCCTACATGATATATTACATCTATTTTTAGATTACCCTGGAACGGATTGCAATACAGCAAAGATTTAGTCTATCTGTAGATGTCTGTTAGTTGTCAGCAAGTCCGTAACAACTAGATAATCAAAACAGAAAATAACATCTCTTGTTGGAGATGTATGCTTGATGGCAGATTGTTTGTTGCTTGCCACTGCGAACAGTTACCGGAATCCCCCCTCCCCCTTTATCCTTCTTGAGTAATCACTTTGTGTCAACGTCCCTGAGCATCTGGTTGAGCAGCGTGTCTAAAGGTGTGCAATCCGGTCCCACCCCTGTGCCTCAAGTCATCGTCGAGCAAGGCAGCCACAACACTCTTATTTACCCTCGTACGTCGACGAGCCTTACACCCGGTTGATCTGGCTGATCAGGAGGA